GGCTCAGCCCGCGCAGGGGAGCACCAGAAAAGGGGTTGCACATTGGCAGCTATTGGGGTAACCCCCCCACCCCAAATCCCAGAGATGGGTGGAGGTGGAAAACAGCTGGTTTATTTGGGGTTTGGGGTATGCTTTGCTTTCGCAGGAGAGGGGAGAGCGCGGGCGTTCAGCTGGGGAGGGCTCAGAGCACCGGGGAGCCGGGCAGAGCCGGCCAGGAAACTGCTGTGGACATGACAAGGGAATGAAAAGTTGAGGGAAATGGAGTTTTAGCTTTTTTTTTTAGGGCAGGGAGGAGGGCCCAAGAACTGGAACAGACAAAACAAAAAGACCCTTTTTCTCCTTTTCCGCCGATTCCTCCAAAACCATCCGTATGACTGATGTTTCCAAGGGGCTGATTAATCCAGTCTGGGGCCGAGCTCAGACTGCGCATTTCCATCTGCCCAGGGTTAGGAAAACCTGATTTTCATTGACTTTCCTCCCCAGGCCAGCCACTCCCTTCCAACGCTGCCTGATAAACTGGCTTCAGAGACAACCAGCCTCTTGGAAAGAGCAGCAGCAGCAAAAAACTGCAGTCCCTGTTTATCCGGCCTCGCTACTATGCACATGCAAATGGATTTCCCTAGGAGCCACCGAGAGAAACTGGCTGTGACTTTGTTCTGGCAATACCAGCAAGGTTGTAACAGGTTGCAAGCAACCAACCCAGCAGCACGCAGGTGAGCTGCAGCGTTCAGGAGCTGGGAGATTATCCTGAGGATTTTTTTTTAGGCTGCCGTTTGCAGGCACCCGGGGTTTTTGCATAGGAAGATGTCCGGCTGCAAGCAAGGCTCTGCAGATGGAGCCGGGAGCGATACACGGCAACAAAGGCCTGCAGCTTTTTGCAAGGTAAAAGCTGGCCAAGCGCTGCTCCACGCGGAAGGGAAGCCAAACCAGGCAGTAGTGAAACCGTCTTTGCAAAAGGCTTGTTATCTAAGCTGTAATTAAATAATCAAGAAAAGTCACTGAACAGATCGGACGTTTAGTGTAACCGTGGTACCAGAATACAGTTCTGGGCCTGGCAGGCCGCCTAAATCCTTGCAGGAGCTTTGGGGCCAAAGTTCAGCTTTTAGGTGCCAGAGCAGCCTCAAAAACCTGCAGCCTCGGCCGCTCAGCACCCACCCAACAGCAGGCACCAGCTGCCGGTGCCACCCCGC